GTTAGAAGAAAAGACAAGAGGGGTTAAAGATGTAATCCATGGTCTCATGTTCACATAACACATGAGACCATGGATGTGGTTTCCCCACACAAATATGTGACAGTTAAAAAGCTGCTCTTTGTTTCTGAACGGAGATCAGCTTTTTGATCTTAAAGAAATCGTTAAATTGATCAGAAGTGTCACAATTGACAAATGATGATAAATGAGTTTAAATCATTTTAGGACTTAAAATGTCCAATTACAATATTTCAAACTAATCATAATATTTTCAATCATAAGTGACTTCAATGTAACATCTAAATAACCAAGCAGAGCTCCATTCTCAGCAACTCTACACAATACCCGAATCAAGTTCAGTAAAGGCTGACAAACAGTAGTAGAGTATTTGAATGTGATTAATTGTTTCAAACAGTTCTGTTTATAGGTACTTTCGGCTGCTGCCACAAGGGGTCGCCACAGTGGGCAGTGCTGCATGTTTGGATGCCCTTCCTGACACAGCCCCACTGGGGATTTGTGTCTCCAGCTGGAACTGAACCAACAACCTTCCACTTACCAAGCAAATGTGTACAGCACTATTTGTGAGGACAAATTAATTAAACTGTGCTCAATCTTAAACATTTACTCAGCGTTTTCTTACTAAAGCTGCTTTTTTTTTTTAAAAATTAGTCATCCAGTAGATCCACACATGGAATAACCTTTAGCTCATGTCATTACACCATATAACGCAGCATTGCAAAGGCAAACGTTAACTCTCTAAACTGCTTCTAACCTTTCAACAGAACTTCCTGTTCATATTTCAGCTTTAACCACTGGCAGGCAGCTGTGTGACCCCTGAGTGTCTAACCTTTTTGCTAACATGATGTTTGCTCCTTTTAATCCTGCTTATGTTTGTTGTCCACTCAAAAAGATTTTAAATGCATAAAAACTAATACAAATACTCCCTTTTAAATCTTAATGGAAAATCTGACTTACATAATGAATTGTTTATAAAATCCCCAAGGTTAATACATGAATAGGAATAATACAATAACTAAAGAAAGGTATTAATATAATAATGCTTTGTCACTCAAAACATGAAACACTCGTAAAGCTGAAACATCCATCCTTGTTCTCCTTCACAGTGACAGGGTCTCCCTCAGGTGTCATGGGACAAAAAGTTAAGTACACTCTGGACAGGTTGCCAGTCTACCACAGGACCAACACACATCTACGGCTAATTTAGAATCACCAGTTAACCTAACACGTCGTTGGACTGTGGGAGTCTCCCTGTGGACCCGAGAGAACCAAAGCTGCCATAAGGAGAACATGCAGACTCCACACAGATGGTCCCAGAGGGCCAGTGAATTCAAACCAAGGATCTTCTTGATGTGCAGTAAAGCTAAAACAGCAAGCCAATGCATCACTTAAGTCTATGTATTGAGGCTTTGCAGTAATTGTTATGAAGCCTGCTAGCATTATCCATCCTCTTACACTTATTCAAGTCAGATCCACACCATGGACAGACTGCTACACAGGGCCAACAGAGAGACAGACAACCATTCACACTCACATTCACACCTAACCCCACTAACTGCATGTCTGACTGTGGGAGGAACCTAGAGTGCCCAGAGAGAGCCCACTCAGAAACGGGGAACAAATTCAAGCTCCACACAGAAAGGATGGTGGATTCAAACCAGGCCCTTCTCACTGCCTTGCCAATATTATGTTTGCATTATATTTAAAATAAAATAAAATAAAATGTACAGCGCGCTTCCAAAATGTGAGGATGTTTTTGTATTATGCAATTTACATAATTTTATAACATCACACTGGGGTATGAAAAAAATTTGCCCTCTTAGAAATCTTAACAAAGCTGATAAGGTAACCTGTAACGAAAATAATCATCAGTCGCAGCATGTGGTGCCACTCCCCACATTCACCACCAGGTGTCTCTCCAGCACAACACTGCTCTGCAGCAGCAGCACTGTTCAATATGTGTGGGAGGCAATACGGGAAATGGAGATATAAAAAGATGAAAGAATTTGTTGCCTTGGGAGAAATGCACACATGTACACACGCACAAAGCCTGACACCCACTTGAGCACGCATACAAGCACGCACAAACACGTAGGGATGAGGGCAGCGAGAGGAGCAATCCAAGTTGTAGTAGATTAGAGATGATTGAAGATTACAGTTCAATATAACAAATCTGAGGGAGCTGCAGTTCAGCTCACTCAGATTAAAACGGGTCATGCGCACATACACAGTTTCCATAGTGATTACATACTGGTTCGGGAATGAGCCGTTTTAGAAAAAAAAAACAACAACAACACGCACACAGAGCCGTCATCACCCTTAAATCATGCCTGTGATTGTTGTGACGCAGCTCTACAGCCAGCAGCTACATTACAAAGGACAATTGCATGATGACAATGGGTAGTTTGTGCTTTTTATGCCAAAACAAAGGCTTCACAGCACTAAACTCTTTGTTTTTTAATCATTATTGCCTTTTCCTATCATGCTGCATCAGCAGCTGTTGTCACCCTTTAACCAAACCTTTCTCTGCATTATCACAAGTTAATACTCCCTTAAACGACACTGAATATGTGCTATTCAGTGCCCACAAGTGCTCCAGTTCGGTGCCATCAACTGATGACTTTGCTTTAGGGAGTTTGAGACAATTCGCATTTTAATTGGCTACACTGGGAGACTGGATGTCAGCGGATGGGGACACTAGTGCAGACAAAGAGCCAGCCAGGCTGTCTATTAGGCTGATTGTTGCTAACCAAAGATTACACAGCCCAATTACATTAAGCAGGGATTATTATCACTGAATGGGATGGGGGGAAAGATTAGTGTGGCGAGAGGAAGGGATGGAGAGATGAGGAAAGAAGAGGTAGCATGAGTGGAGGGGGTGGGGTAAATAAAAAAGGGAATGAGATGGTGTGGTCAAAGCTGGGATGAAAGCAAATCGGATGACTGGTTCAGGGAGACAAAAACCTGGACAAAGACTGCATTGGTAGAAGAAGAAAAAGCAGAAGAAGAGGAGAAGAGATGTTCCCTGATGAAAGAGCTCAGTTAACCACAGACGGAGACAGTGGGTCGACAAGCTGGTGCCAGGGTACACACACAGACGTGCCCACACACAAGGACACACACTGCTGAGCTCTCTGTAAGGATCCTGCCCTGGGCATATGCTAGTTGAGATCCCTGTAATTACATGCTGGTCTAAATAAAAACAGAACTACCTATGTTATTACCAGAATAAAGCAAGACACACAACAGACAAAGACAAATGCATTTCAGCTAGGTTATGAATCTTTCTGAGATCTACACCTGAAAAGAATTTTGAAGTGGTGACCAACCAAGCAGCAATGTTTGGGACCGAAGCCAACAAGGAAGTGTCCACCCCCCACCCCTTGAAACCAAGCTGAAGTTGGAGTTTGCTTCACAAGTGGATCAATCCCCATGACCTCTTAGGTTAAAAATGCCAAAATTCAGCCATAAAAATGTCATGTTTACAACATGGTTTTAATTTAAACCATGTTGTAAATGTGAGAAAATGTTAGCGTGACTATGAGTGCGAATGGTTTTCTGAGTCTATGTGTTAGCTCAGCGACAGACTGACGACCTGTTCCCCGCCTCTGGCCCTAAGACAGCTGGGATAGGCTCCAGCGCACCCCGCGACCCTGAAAAGGATAAGCGGAAGCAAATGGATGGATGGAGTATTTATTCATAAATCTTTAACAGATGAGATATTTCAGTTGGGACTAAATAGACTGAGGACTGACACTGAAAACATGGCCATCAAAAATGAAACACACTGTTATGATGATCATTTAGTTACAGCCAAAAATGAAAAGAGGTGAGTGTTTACACAGAATATTAACAAGGATGTCACTGACGGAGATGCAAAATATGTGGTGCTAGAAGAGCAAGTTGATGGTTCAGCTAAATATATACAAGCATTAAAATGCCCCTTATAATGCTGAACTTTGCACAGCACGATCTATTTCCCCACAAAGTAATCCTGCATAAAGAAAACTGAGGAAACTCATATTATTGTAGCATTTTAGTGTCTAGACCTTTTGAATAATGCCCACTCTCAATCAAAGGGTTGTTATCAGCAAACTCAGCATGGTTAGGAAACCTGTCCATTCTCAGCTTATCAGGTTTCACATGCTGGACTTTATCATATTCTGTGGTGTTCCTGGGCAGCCTGAGCGGCACCGTGGAATTATGGACATAAGAGAGAAGCACTGCATCTATAAGAAGTTGTTCCTGGGCCTGTAAAGTGTTGTCACTGGCTGCTGTATCACACTGGGCGAAGATAAGAACCAGGCAGCTTTGTGCAGGCTTCTCTGTACATAACTTTACATTTAAAGAGCTTCTATCTCAGTCTGCTGGTATGTATACATGTGTGCGTGAAACCTTTTCTGTTTTTTAGTTGCTCTTCTGTGAATATGTATTTGCAAAGTAGCTTTGATGATTCTGTAGCAAAGAACCAGTCGTCCTCCTGCTTAGAGTGGTCCTGCAGCTCACAGCAGCTCACAAGATCAGAAGGACTAACCATCTGCAATCCAAGACGGCGGAGGTGGAGAAAAATCAAGAGAGATCCACTCAGAGGGGTGTAACTGAATGATACAGAGGACCTTAAAACAGCAAAACGCACAGCACTGCAGCCAGCAGGGAGAATGTGACGTGATGTAATGAGACAGGAAGAGTCAGGATTAGTCAGGACCAGTTGGTCAGCAGCAAAACAAGAAGAGTGGGGATGCTCTCAGACCGATAAACACGAAGATAATGGGACACTTCCGTGTTGGTAGTAGTATTATAGTACAAGACTGAGTATTGTGAGTTTTTGCACAATACACAGGCTTTTGCACATTTCTAATTGCACTGTCTTGTGTCTGTATCGCTCTGTTCCGTCTGGTGTTGCACCATCTTTGGGGGTTTTTTTTTGCAATTTTTGAACATTGCACTTTATGTAGTCCTGTGTTGACTGTCTGTTATATGTCATATGTAGCACCATGGTCTTAGAGGAACGTTTCACTGTGTACTGTACCACTGCAGACGGTTGGACTAACAATGAACGGAAGTTCGGGTAGTGGCGCAATTTGAGATATTTAGCAAGTTGAGTCTTGAATACAAATAACACTAAATTCTTCCACAGTGAAGGCAGTTCAACACCAAACAACAAGACAACGCATCAAATCCAAAATCCGCTGCTATATGCCAGCTTTGCTATGGGCATGGCCATATTACTAAGATGATGTGACATGATATGACAAGGCTTTTTAAATATATTTTTACTTTTCTGTCACACCTAGTCATGGATTACGGTTTATGCTCTGCCTGACTCTGCTTAGATCAGCTGGTTGTTGATTTTGTAGAGTTGCCAACAGGGAAGTCCTGCCTCTGAAGGACAAACTCCAATAACCTGGTGGAAGGGTGTTTCCTCCATCTCTTCTTTACTCATTTTAAATTTCACTTTAGACACAAATATATAATCAAATAACAAATATTGTCCAATATATGTGGCTCTACATATCTTTGTGAATGAACTTATTTGGTAAAAATACAATCTAAGTAGAGAACTACTTTAGTAAAGACAAAGCAAAAATCTTTGAAAGTCAATATTCAGTAATAAGCACTAAAAACAAATTGCCACTCCGCCTGATGGGAACGCTGTTATTCTGTATTTCATTGTACAACCGTATAGTCACAATAAAGGCATTCTATTCTATTCTATTCTGTTCCTGCAGGTACTTGATCATAAACCACCTAAAACCAGAGGGACGCTTTATATTTAATAATCAAATGTTTATTGCATATCAGCTGCAACTAACTGATTTGAAATGCAACCATTTGTTTCAGCCTGAGAGATTGGCATGTGGCCTGCACTGTCCAGATGTGCAGAGCTGATGTTGCTGCTTTAAAGCTTGGTGCAGAATTAAGTTAAGAAGTGACTGAATCTGAAGCCAGGTACACAGCCCAAACACAGGACCGGTCACAGAAAATTTATTGACCATATGGTCCAAAATCCCACAGAGTGTGAGTGCACAAAACCCATCTGACCGAATAACAAGAAAAACTGCCATAGCAACGTGCATTTGCAATAACTGAAGTGAACACAACCACACAGAAGCAGACCTCTTCTGAAGCTCAAGCACAGGGGCAAGCTGGCTTTTAATAACTTCCTATCAGGAAGTCTTGTCTAGCCCCTCTTGACTGAGCTGCAGAGCCGGGAAGAGCAGACGTAAAGTCTGGAGAATGGAGCATAATGAATAAAGGAAGATAACAATGTTAATTTCTGTGTGTGTGTATGTGTGCGTGCTTCCACGCATTTCTATAGGGAGTTTCTGTCCTGCCGCCTGCAATCGCTGGAAAACCAAGCGACTGTCTGGGGTATTTATATGTTTAATGCTTATACAGGTCCTGATTTACCAAGTGTGATGCAAATTAATTGCTGTGAGGCTCTTGAACATCACACAAAAAGAATCTAAAGCTGCTTTCTCATTGAGCTCATTTTCTGACAGCTGTTATCTAGCCAGCAGTTTTTGTAGGAGGATATCAAAGCCTGGTTCAGTAATTGGTGTCTCACTCTCTCCCACTTCCCATCAGGTCTTCCTGCCAACCATTAGACAAAGGGGGCCAGAGTTCATAGCTGGGAGATAGTTACTGCTAAGGAAGCAGTAACTATCTCACAGTGGGCACAAAGCCTTCATTTTCACACTGTAGAAACCAATGTAACACTTTAGCTATGCCACTCATGCTCTTGCCCTTCTGTTAAAAGAGTAAAACACCACACTAATAAGCTTCCGCTACACTTTTAGATCAGTCCAGAAAACATTTCTTGAGGTTTATTGTAGCATCATGTTAGAATAAGAATGTGATTAATGAAAAACGCTGCAGGTTGTATTTGTTCATCTAATGGGAAACGTGGGTGTACCTGCTAGTGGACAGGGTGCAGTCAATGGCGGGTCGCTTGGTCTTGGGAATGGAATAAAGCGGATAGCGATCACCATGGCGAATCATCACATGGACAGACAGCAGCTTGTAGTCAGCAGGACTGTGACCTGTCAGAGGAGACCATCTTCAGCAATGTTCCAATGCATGCGGTGGAAAAAGGCACCATTATTCGCCATTATTCTCCCTTTTGTTAGCAGATATCAGATTACTTATCCAAGCATCAAGACTGTGGTTAGATTAGGATGTAGCAGGCATATGATGATAAGAAATTAGAGCAGGTATGTTCATTTCTTTCTATCAACAATGCAATCACTTTACAAAGTGTGACTCTTAGCAACAAGTACATCGAATTATCTCCCGTAGAGTTTCTGGCAATCTCCACAGAGCTGTTTCCCCAACTATCACTCAGTTGTTTTTGTTATATAGTCCAACATGTACTCATTCTGACACACAAGGGAGAAATATTTTCAGTTTTAAAGTTCTCATAAATTCACTGTTTTAACCTAGTACCAAATGGAAGGCAGAGATAGTTAGCATATAGTGCACATTTGCAAATGTAAAAAACTATACAAAAAATATCACAAGATTTGAGACAATTTGAAGCAAAAGTGCTCTGCTCGGGGCATCAGCTAAGGCTGGAGTTGGCAGCAACATGAGACACATCAAAGAAATTGGAGCACTGACTGTGAGTGCATGACTGCGAGTGTAAGTGAGTTATTTAAAAGTCAAATCAGAAGATAGGAGATGCAGGGAAATGAGTGTGTGTCCTTGGGAACTTTACACCACCTAAAAACAAAAAAAACCACCACTGCGCATGTCAATAACTTTGGATGCCCAGTGTCTGTCAAATCTAGCTTTATGCCACAGATGCTATAAATCAACACAATTATAAATAGCAAAAATACTTTTTATGTTTATGTGGTCGATCCACAAGTATGTGTGAAAAAAAGAAAGAAAAAAGAACACTAATTTTTGATTAACATGTCAGTATTTAAATCAGTATTTAGTGATTGTCCAGTGTCTGTTATGTACCTAATGAATAACAACGTATGTTCTTGTTTTAAACAAGTTTTTGGGGAGATTTAAAAAAAAAAAAAAAAAAAAGATTATTTATTATTTCTTGTTCTTATGACAGGTGGTCTAATAAATCTAAATGAGGAACGTGATTTATTTTCCTCCGGTGACAGAAACTACCACGCAGTGAATTAGCGGTTGCTTGTGTAACTCATCTCAAGCAGTGCAGGATATTTGTATGGTTGCCTCAGGCTAGAAACAGAGCTGTGCTGTAGTGAGATGGAGCTGCAGCATTACAGATGATGCAGTCCAGGAGAAGTGACGTCTCCAAAAATAACACATCCCTCGTGCGCTGACACACTAAAGCTGACATTATTACTAAATTAAGCATTTTTTGTGCTGTCCATCAAATCTGCTTCTGACTCATGCAAAGAGAGAGTCGGCCTCAAGAATATGTCTCTCACATAACCAAACTCACAATCACACACAGCATTACGTTTTTTTTTCAGATTTTGCTTAAATCAGATTTTGTGTCACTGTGCAGGTCTCACCCTCCCAGGCCTGTTCAGTGCGGTTGGGAATGTTGCAGTACCCATAAGCCTCAAATATGGGGTTGGGCTCCTGGGTGTGAGGCTGTGGGAACACTCGCTTTCTGCTCTTCCCCACAGCCACCCCGATACCTCCATCCGCAGCATGGAAAGGGCGCTCCTCCACTATCGGTGTGGTGGGGATCAGGTTCACTGTGGAGAAACAAAGTGGCATGAGAACAGGTAGAAATACAGTATATATATGTTTTTTAAGTTAAAAGTAGAGGTAGAAAGAGAAATGAAAGAATTAGGAAAACTGAAAAACATCAATCTAAAGCATCATAGTGAGCAGCTTCACTGGCTTAGAACTCTAAATAGTACTGTTTTGTCTTCTGCCCAGGGATCAACATGGGACTTTACTATTTCATTAATGTGTGTACAACATTTCAAGTGTTTTCCATAAAACTGGATTCTATTTTTGGCAGTAGCTGGGGTGGACATGCTTACGTGGGTCCCTGCAGGATGTGGGTATTTCTTGTAAAGCCAACTTTATGATATCAATTATGCTCACAACAGTAACCTGGTCCTGCCAGCTGACAGGGAAATATATAGTGCTGAACACGGTGCCATCATGGTACCTTCTTATAATAGTAATAATAATAAGATGTAGTCTAAAACCTGGCAGCACAAGTTTCAAAAGGTTTTCATCTAATGGTAAATAGAGGAGAAAAGTAAAGCCACAAAATAATGGAGTAGCAAGACACAGACATCTGAGAAAATCATTTCCATCTCAGTTCATCTCCATGTCAACAGCTCTGTATCCTAAAACCCCCTCACTGCCACCACAGTGTTGCCTAGGCACTGGCTGACCTGTGAACCCGAGGAGAAATGGTCCAAAGAGAGCGGAGCGGCAGTGGGAACTGGAAGGATCATTTAAACGGATCCAACCCTGAAGAAAAAGAGGCTGAACCCACACACACACACACACACACACACAAAATCCAGGCTGGCAAGTCAACTGTGTAAACATTACATCCTGCTGCAGAGAAGAAAAAGAGAGGCCCACTGTCTGCCTCATCATAAAAGACCTAATGAGTTTTCATTTCTCAGAGTGAAATGACTGAAAACAACAACAGAGTGTAAATAATGTTACACAGCGCCTTGTCTCCAGCGGGGCTCATCAAGACCGCACAGTTTGCTCAAATATTTACTTCTGTTTGTACTTCACACTAGTATTTACACCTTTTTTTATACAGTAACTTCAGATTGACTTATGCCTGCTTTATATTTTACCATAATACCTTTAAACCCTGAGAAAGCCCTCTGAATTTCCACTTTATTGAAATGTACTACACAAATGAACTGCCTTGCAGTTTTGCTCCAAGGATCATGTTTTCCATTTGTTTAACTGCCACATGCATTGTGAGCTGTCTGTGAAAGACTCCATACTTTCTAATGTCCCGCTCTGAAAGGACAGTAAATATCCTCATGGCCCATCAATGTAACCATTGTGCATATGTGCAAAACCTGATTTAAATAATCCTTTAAAGGCATTTATCAATTGGAAAGACCCAGACTGTTGCTGCTTCCAGCTATTCAAATGTGAGCTTTGGCTGCTGTTTTTAAAGCGCCTGAGCTTTTGCTTTTAGGATCCTTGGTTTTAGAACAAACTCTGACTCGCAACATCAGTATCTTTTAAATCCCTATTTTTCTGTTTTACTTTGGTGCATGTGCATTATGAGTTTTCCACTCAGTTAGGTTTAGAGGTAAAAATTATTAAAAGGAAAACACAATAGTTCACTCAATAAATATTTAAAAAGTGAGACAAACGGCTCTGCTTTTAGTAAAAGTAGCTGAATGGAGCCATATCTCACATCTCCCTCAGCAGCACAACAATATTATCACACACAATCTGTGCAGCTGATGTACGTAAAGCACAACCTGTCACAGGTGTTTGTCAATGCTTCTTAACAGGTTTGTCCTGATAATCATCGTCTAAGAATTGTAGTACACAAATACTAGAAAAGCTGGTAGACTTTTAGAACATAGAACAAGCAAGAACATCTAAGAACAGTTATTTACCAAGACAAAGCCTGATGTTTTTGTCTTGGTAAATAAAAAATGAAAGTCTTCAGGAAAAGTTTTGAATTTGGACATAAACTCACCACAAATGAGAAAAACGACAAGCTGAGCGACACGAGTGGAGAGCATTTTGACGACCGTTCAGTAGCTCGAGGTCTGACTGCACACACTGGAGCTCATTCATTACCATAACTTGTCCTCCTCCACTCACTGTGCCCCATACACTGCTATCCCCCCCACCACCACCACCTCCCAGCAACACACACACACACACACACAAGTCTGCCTGGACAAACCAAACGTTTGGAGGCCAGTTCAGTCACAGTTGCCTCCACAATGGGGCTTTTGTTACTCCCTGCCCGACACTGTCACGTGCATACACAGAAACGGCAAACAGAGCATTACGCACACGGGACACAACAAATTCATGCAGACATGCTAAATGTGGCTCGATTAACATGCCTTCCAAGTATCCTTCCACCTCCGTCAGACCTGAGTGTTTTCAGCAAAGGTGACAGCATGCAAACATTCATGCATCCTGACTCACAAACTCAAAGCTAAACAGTCTGCCCTGTTAATTCTCCCACCTCTGAGTATGTGTGAGGCCATCATTATAAACACGCAGCCTGATTTTTACCTCAAGGCAAACAGGCGGCTCTGCCTCAGAAATGCACACAAACACATCTGTGTCAAGTCGAGCACTGCTGTGATTATGGAAGTATAAAGATACTCAGAGCATGTGGCTTGGCCTCAAATTAAGAAGGTGGGTGCCCACTTATAGTACCCAACTTGAGAGCACACTGTACTGTCAGCACTGCTGTAACCAAAGCCCAGTGGAAAAGATGGAGCAAATATTGACTCATAGTACAGACATAACGAGCAGCTGCAGGCAGCCAGGACTTGTTGCATCCTCACCTTATGTCTAGTGAACGCGAATGGAACAACTCGTGACAGAAAAGCTCATCAAGAATGAAATCATTCACAGCTGGAGGAGGCAGCGCTATGCGGCTTTACAAACAATCCACCGGGACGAAACAGATTAACATCCTCGTGGTTCGCATTTCATTAATCACTAATGGTCAGTGTTACAGCAAAAGCGCCCATAAGCTCCTGATTGCCCCCGATATAGATCTGAGTCTTTTAATACCCCGTATCTGGTCGGATTTATTTTATCATTAGGGTGGCACAGCAGCTCTTTGGTTAGAATTATTATATAAATGTTAGTGGAAACTGAACCATCTGGGGAAAACAAACAGAAAACATGGAAATGCTAAATCATAGTTAAATGCAAATATGAGTGTTAGGTTTCTACTCCACCTACGGTCTGGTTTAGCTGGTCTAGGGGATGCAAGACCCTGAGGCCAATCATCAAAATCATCAGAATACCTCATTTGATCTCTTACATCCACCTCTGTCAGCTAAATCCTAGAAAGAGTTCAGGGCTGCAGGACAAAATGCATGTCCATGTCTGCAGCATCTACATTAAACATCAATACCAACAACCTAATCAGCTTAGTTTTGTACTTAGGTTATGCCATTAGCATGCCATGCACAGCTGCCATGTCCTAGCAACTGAACCACACTGATGATTTGCTGGATGATTTTTATGACCGTCACAGTTCAAAAGCTCTAAATGAATCTGCATGGTTAAAAGATTTACCAGAAAAAAATTAGGCTATGCATGCACAAGACTCTGATTTATGTATTTACAATTTATGATAAAAATCACATGTAATCTATACTACTCACTGAGATTGGACTACTTTGACTTCACAGGACAATAACTGCAGCACCTGTGGCAATTTTTACTCTTCCTTAAGTGTGTTAACACATGGGCAAAAAGCCCCCCAGGTCATAAACCATATGAAACACACAGGTAATATAAAGCGTGGTAATCTGTCAGTGTGCTACGCCTATGACAGTCTGGCACCGTTCCAGAAGCCTTCATTTTGCCAAATGCATGCTGGGATGCATTTCAGCTCATACATCCTGGCATAAAATAAGCACTAGAGAAAGCTGATGGATAGAGTGAGGGAATATTCTCATTCTATCTTCCAGCTAATATGTCTGAACAGTGCAGACAGTTAGTCTACAACAGGCCACTTTAATAATTAGTGAAGCCATTTAATTTAGTATGCTTGACAGTTGAATAGCTTTGCATTAAAAATGTAGGCTGCACCACAATTTGTCTTTAATGCATATCTATACTACACTAGGTCTATTCGTATCGTGCTCTGCAGTGTTTTGAGCTGTTTTGTTGAGGATGAGTAATAGCGTCTGAATGTTGGCAGGAAAGGCTGAACATCTTCTCTAAAGTCATATTTTCAATACCCGTCTAAATGTTGTTTGTCATGCATTTGCAGCAAGCTGACTCTTACTCTGAAATCCAATCTCATCAAAATACATCAGCCTGTTTTACTTCAAGCGACTAAACAGCCCCACAGAAAACACTCACAAACACCACATCCGTATGTTCCGTATTTTCTATCCAGTCAACGTAATGAATGTTTTTTAAGGGCAACACCTGTATTCGATGGGCTCTTACTATCAGTAAAGGCTAATCTCAGTTGAGCCTTGTGAGATTATTATATTATCTTATGCCACGTTATACCCCTAATTAAAGATTGTGAAATCATTATCATTATGTAGTTTTAGGTTGCATTTAACTCTTGACTTAGAAGAAGGTGACAACTATTAGATTTATTAGACTGATTTGTATTACATTAGACTGCTGATTTATTGTGAATGAATTACATTGTTTTATGATGCATTATACTGCTGATTTATAAGAAATACTGTTTTCAGAGAATCATGGCCTTATTTGTCTGATTAGAAAAGAACAGAACATACTGCACAGGAAGCCAAGGTCAAAACTTAGGCTCACTGAGAGAGAAAGAATGTGGATGTTTAGGTTTTATGACTTTGGAGGGAAGCTGAAGCTATAAGAATGTGAGAAACGGTCAGACACTTCGAGATCTGGCGGACACCCTCCTGTCCACATCTCCCGTTTGGACGCTTTATGCTCAAAGTGTTGTATGGAATAAAGAGATTGTTGATTGAGTATTTATACACCGAGTGTTGTTCTTCCTTCAGCCCAAAGATGAAAGAATTGGGGTATTTAACAGCCTATG